ACACACACACACACACACACACACACAGAGAGAGAGAGAGAGAGAGAGAGAGAGAGAGAGAGAGAGAGAGAGAGAGAGAGAGAGAGAGAGAGAGAGAGAGAGAGAGAGAGAGGACGTACTTTTCCTTGAAAGCCAGAGAGAGAGAGAGACACACATAATTTCGGATTTGGGGATTTAGGGCTTTAGGGATTTTAATTCATTGAATGGGTTAATCCAATTTACATCTCTAATCAGATCGTAATCGGGTCATTTTATATTTACTTAGTTTAACCATTGCTTTAGTTTTAAAACAAAGAATACTAAACCTATTTTAAATTAGCATTTGTTGGTATTAGTTCATCCTTCAAACTTTAGAGGGATCAGGTTTCGATGTTTTGTTCTAGGAGAAATAGATTTATAAACATAGTTATGATGTGTAAATAGGTCGTTAACCCTAAACACCCCACATATTCTAAACATGTTTTGTTGTGCATATCAAAAAGAAAAGCAAGAGATGTAGACATTTCTGTTAAAAAACAAGATTTATTATAAAATAAGTATATTGTGTTATTATTTACAACCTTGAAATAATAACACACATAATATTACTTAAACTCATACATTATTATTGTATTTTTTTCTATATATTATATATAGCACATTATTAGTAGATTTTTACTGATTATTTCAATAGTAGGAAATAAAAAAGAAGAAATTACATCTATCTTTTCTTCCAGGGGAGGACAAAGCCTAATGGTTTGTCATGATCTCTTCTGAAGTAAATCCCATCAGGTCTGGCTGCCCATTGACGTATTTGATTACATCTATCACTCGCGGCAGCTCGATATATTTCAAGTTTATCAAAATGAAATTCTTTTCGATCACCATACCATAAATCACATTCGTACTGTGTTCTTTCTCTTCTAGTAGAAAGATCGGCGAATTCCCAAGTTCTATTTTGATTAAAATTTCTTAAACTGCCTTGCCAATCATGACTTAGCCAATTACGACAATTGTATCCCAATACTTTACCACCACCGAGTTGGTTAGTAATCATTGTACGATTTATAGGGCAATTTTTCTTTACCCAAGCGTCACTACTTAACCAAAAACCCATTGCAATAACTAACAGAAAAACTATGTAATTATTCATTTTCATGATTTTTTTTGTTTTTTTGTTGGAGTAATAAGATTATCAACTCGAAGTATTTATAAGATAAAAACAATGTGAAGTAGGTTTTACTTTTATTTTTAGATAGTTTATTAATAGCGTCAACTAACTATTAAAACAAATACAAACCAAGTAAAATAATTGGTAACGGGAGGTTTTACTCAGCTTAATGTCAAAAAATATGGTTAGCCACAAACATAAAAGTAAGGGATAATTTCAATTATACCACTTTGATGGTACCACTTTTCATGTTTACCATCAACAAAGGAACATTTTCAAAAATACACATTTTATTAAATGATAAAAGACTCTTATATCCTTATTTTTTATAAATATACATAAAATAAACATTAAATAAAATATTAACCCTAAACCCTAAAACATCAATTCTAAACTCTAGAGCCTAAAAAGTAAACCCTAAACCCTAAAAATCAACCCTAAACCCTAAAATATCAATTCTAAACCTTAAACCCTAACCTCTAAACTCTAAAAAGTAAACCCTAAACCCTAAAAAATCAACAATAAACCCTAAACTATCAATCCTAAACCCAAAATCCTAAATCCTAAATTCTAATAGTATTTTGACAATTAAAATTTTAGTGGTAAAGTTGATTAGTGTAAAGTTGAAAAGTGGTATCTTGAAAGTGTTATTTTTGGCAATTTCCCTAGATATATATAGGAACAATAAATTACCACAAAACAAAGAAACCAAAAATTTAAAATGTTAGGAAATGTATTATTTTAATATCTTTTGTTATTTCCTCTTCATAGGATTGTAAACGAAGAGTTTTGAAAACACTAATTAGCGCTGTCGTAGTTTTTCCAGTTTAAACTTTTATTAATTGTTTCCTTACATCAGTTACATTCATAATTTATTATTCTATTGCCTATATTTAATTTGATCTTATAATTATAATTTATATTATGAAAGCAATAATTATATTGTTTATTTTTTATCTTAAATTCCTAAATAATTTAATATAAGTATATGCTTAAATTTATAGATTTGTTTCTACAAACTATACTTGGAGTACACTTAAACAATAATACATGTTTTTTTTTTTAAATTGAAGCTTACCTTATATATCTACACAATTTCGTTACATCTTTCATTATAATATATATATATATATATTATTTGTGACTATAATTTTCACATTTTTTAATATCTAAAAATAAAGTTATAATCTATTTAAATTTATACACTCCGCGCAGGGTGCAAAATATCACGAATAGTACAATGCAATGTGAATTGTTTATCTTCTTCAATGCAATGTGTTAATCATAACCTTACGACTTCGCCTAGGGAACTAATATTTCTGACGACAGAACTTAACAGGTTATCGCGGTAGTTGAAATGAGGTTTCGCTTCCAGAAATGTACAAATGCACCGAGTGGCAACTTGGTTATATACTAACTGCTTTTCAAATGCAATTAACTTTTGCAGAAATGACTGTCAAGGACATCAGCAGCAAAGGGACATGCATACAAAAGAAAAAAAGTCATTTACATGTTTAAAAAATATGATAAAAGAAACGTATTAAAAACACTGTCCAGGCTTAAATAACAAAATACCCAATTTAACCATAATAAGCTCCAAGTTTTGATTCTGGTTTCTTTTGATGGAATGTATTAACAAGGTCAAGATGCAGAAGACATGTCACCGAATGCAAAAATGAAACTTTTAGCAACTTAATATAACGAAAGAAAATTAGAAAGATTCAGAAAAGGTATTACCAGAACTACTGCTTGAGGTGTTTCTTCCTCTTGTATAATCTTCTTAGGCAATTCTTTCTTCTGTTCCTTGGCCGCCTTATTACTCTTATTTTTAGCTTTTGCTCTCCTTTGAGATTTGTTCAATGTATTTTTTGTTGGGATAAAAAACGGCAATCTCGAAATCAACGTCTACGATTACTTTTTCTTATATTCTCCGAAAGAATCTCGGCTCGAGAAGACAAGAAACGACTAAAACTGAACAGTCGATCAGCTCGCCGTGGCGAGCTTGACGGACCAATCGAGCTCGCCGGCTTGGCAAGCTGACCAAGGCTGATCAGCTCGCCAAGACAGCGAGCTGCACGGACCAGCCCAGCTCGCCAAGACGGCGAGCTGGACGGGCCAACCCAGCTCGCCGGCTTGCCAAGCTGACCATGCCAAGTCAGCTCGCCAAGACGGCGACCTGGACGGCCCAACCCAGCTCGCCAGCTTGACGACCTGGCCATGGCCAGTCAGTTCGCCAAGACGGCAAGTTGGACGGGCCAACCCAGCTCGCTGGACGGGCCAACCCAGCTCGCCAGCTTGGCGAGCTGACCAGGACCGGCTCGGCGAGCTGGTCGTATCATCCGCACCATTGCCCTTCGACTCGGTCATACTCTAAACCGTGATTGGAACATCTTTCGTTTCATCTCGATCCGTATTCTCGTTGGAACTTTACGATAAAAACCGCTAAAGACTTGTATTTTCGTAAAGACTCGAGTAAATCGTTTAAAACAGTAACAGTTAAATGAAACACCGAAAGTTACCAAACTATACGATTGACTCGAGATTTTTTTTTTATAAAAACGGCATTGTAACGTCCGTCTGAAATCGTAAAATGGCTAAAGACGCAAAGCGGCCGAAAGGTCTTAAAAATGCGATAAAGGCCCACTCGCGACTTTAGACGAAATCGAACCCAAAGATATGATAACAGATTATCCATTATTCGCAGGAATAGATAAATGTCATGTTTGAAGATAAAATAGAAGTTTTCCAAGGAAAAATGGAAGATTTCCGATAAACACGAATCAGGGCGGATAAGGAAAGACCAACCGCCTAAAGGAAGAGTATATAAGCATAAGGTTGGAATCAAGAGGAGGCAGAGCTTTTTACACCTAGAAAAACGGCTGTTAGCTTAAACGAATTTAGGACTGAGGGGGCTAAACTAGCAAGTCGGATTCTTAGAACGTTTAGTTTTCTAAGTTCCGCGATTATCTTTGTTGTAACAACTTTCAATCTCTTTATTCATATCAATAATAGTGTTTGCGAAACTTCTTCATATATATTCTGTTTATCTTTTTCATTTTAGTGTGTTTATGCAGACATCCGGGGCCTCCGGAAAATTAGGGTTTCCCTAAGTTTCCTTATTTTATGGAAAATCGACAGTGCGAATTTCGGTTCCCACAGTTTGGTGCTAGAAGGAGGGGGGTTCGGATTCTCTAAAACAATAACCACTGAACAGACGAGCGACGATATGCCTAACTTAAACGGCCAAGTCATCTCATTCAAGGATAGAGAAAATTTCAACTCGATCAAACCTCTCAACAACCTCCTTGTCACCGAGCTGACAATCCAGAATATGGATGTCGCAAGGATATTAGTCGACACCGGAAGTCCGGCTGATATCATCTTCAAAAATACCCTCGAGAGAATGGAAATCGACCCGTCCGAAATCGCGGAAAACTCAAGCCCGCTAGTAGGACTCTTGGGAGAAGTTACCATGACTCTCGGCACAGTCAACCTTACGGTTCAAGCCGGAAGCATGATCAAAATCATCGAATTCCTAGTCGTCGATCGACCCACGTCCTACAACGCGATCGTAGGAACCTCGTGGCTAAACTTGATGCAAGCAGTACCATCGACGTACCATATGTGTCTCAAGTTTCCTACCCCGCACGGAATCAAGACCATATGAGGAAATAGGAAAATCTCGTAGGTCTGTTATGCCGCAGATTTAAAACGAAAAGTTCATGTGGCTAATGCTCCATCAAAAAAGAAAAAGAAACCATCTGCCATCAACAACGCCCCATAACAAGATGAAACCAAAATCTTTTGGCAGTCACGGGTAGCCGAAGTATTGTAAGCGAAGCGCAAACCTACCTGCGAACCCATCATCTCGGTATGTATATACGATGCATTCTCAGAATGCTGCATCAAAATTGGTGCAAACCTAAACGAGACTTTGAAGGCCGAGCTCTTGACTTGTCTAAAAAGAAAATCGAACATGTTCGCATGGACCGTAGAAGACATGCCAAGAATTGACATCATCGTCACTTGTCACAAACTCAATGTAGACCCAACGTTCAAGCCCGTCAAACAAAAAAGACAGAAGCTGGGGCCAGAACCCGCTGAAGCAGTCAACAATGAGGTCGATAGACTCCTCAAGGTCAGATTCATAACGGAAGTTAGGTATCCTGACTGGCTCGCTAATCCTGTCGTCGTCAAGAAAAAAAACAGAAAGTGGCGAGTCTGCGTCGATTTCACCGACCTTAATAAAGTGTGTCCTAAAGATAGATACCCACTGCCGCATATCGACCGCTTAGTCGAGGCAACAACATGAAACAAACTTTTATCTTTCATGGATGCTTTTTCTCGGTACAATCAGATCATGATGAACCCTGACAATCGAGAGAAAACCGCATTCATAGGCGATCGCGAAACTTATTGTTATAAAGTAATGTCATTCGACCTTAAGAATGCCGGCGCGACTTATCAAACGACTCGTCAATTGCATGTTCTCCGAACAACTCAAAAAAAATAATGAAAGTGTACATCGATGATATGCTTGTGAAATCGCTCGAAGACCAAGATCATGTCACGCATCTTCAAGAATTATTTTGAGAGGATCAATTTGCACAACATGAAGCTAAATCCCGTCAAGTGCCGGTTTACGGTCGCATCCGGGGAATTCTTCGGGTACCTCGTTACCTACCGAGGGATTCAGGCCAATACGAAAAAAATCACGACACTAATAGAAATGGTGTCCCCCAGGATGAAGTGCGAAGTACATAGGCTGACCGGCATAGTCACGGCACTTAACCGCTTCATCTCGTGATCAACGGATAAATGTCTCCCTTTCTACGATACTTTGAAGGAAAACAAGAAGTTCGAGTGGTCAGAGGAATGCGAATAAG